TCTGAAAGCGCGAACTTGTTGAACTTCTCTATGATTTCGCCCTCCATCTTCACTTGAGATTCTCAGAACCTTACTAGGAATCCAAATTCCGGAGAATCCAGTTCAGATCTGGGAGAAAGAATCCCCAATATGACACTAAGAAATCCTAAAATCCACCCTTGCACCAAACCCTCGAAAGCGAAAAAACCCACGGGACCCCCAAAAGAGAATTGGACAAAGGCTAAGAACGCAGAGCAAAGAAGATTATGGACAAGATTTAGGCAGAAACAAAAGATCGAGGCTGAGAAAATGTTAGATCTGCAAATCCATATACATGGAACTTCAGGCACTCTACGAAGAGAGAGAAAAAATCCTCATAAAGAGGTACCGGGTTTTCCATTTACATTAAATTTGTACAATTGAAGTCAAATTAATACAATTGAAGTTGAATTCGTACAATCAAAGTCGAATTGATACAATTGAAGTCAAATTAATACAATTGAAGTCAAATTTGTATAATTAAAGTCAAATTAATACAATTGAAGTTGAATTCGTACAATCGAAGTCGAATTAATACAATTTAACTCTACTTAGTCTGCATGGAGAGTTCCAGGACAACAGGTGTTTCTATGTTGTTTCTGTTGATGGTGGCAAAGAAGACTTCTCCTATCGCAAATGTCTGGAGAGCTTCATCAGAGAGAAGTACCATGACAAGGAAGAAACTTTTATTCCCAGATGTTGCTGCTATTGGTGGTTGGAACTAAGCAGATTAAGCAAAAACTTATATATGATAATTAATATCTATGTTTTTGAATTTGGCCTGGAACCAAGCTGATTTTCCATTTAATGCTGTTGATTATTAAGTAGATTATGTTACTGAGTTTTGATGTACAGTAGCTTTAAGTCAAATTTGTACAATTGAAGTCAAATTAATACGATTAAAGTCAAATTTGTATAATTAAAGTCAAATTAATACAATTGAAGTTGAATTCGTACAATCGAAGTCGAATTAATACAATTTAACTCTACTTAGTCTGCATGGAGAGTTCCAGGACAACAGGTGTTTCTATGCCGTTTCTGTTGATGGTGGCAAAGAAGACTTCTCCTATCGCAAATTTCTGGAGAGCTTCATCAGAGAGAAGTACCATGACAAGGCAGAAACTTTTATTCCCAGATGTTGCTGCTATTGGTGGTTGGAACTAAGCAGATTAAGTAAAAACTTATGTATGATAATTAATATCTATGTTTTTGAATTTGGCCTGGAACCAAGCTGATTTTCCATTTAATGCTGTTGATTATTAAGTAGATTATGTTACTGAGTTTTGATGTACAGTAGCTTTAAGTCAAATTTGTACAATTGAAGTCAAATTAATACGATTAAAGTCGAATTTGTAGAATTTAAGTCGAATTAATACAATTGAAGTCAAATTAATACAATTGAAGTCAAATTAATACAATTGAACTCGAATTCGTACAATCGAAGTTGAATTCGTACATATATAAGGTTTAGGGTTTAGGGTTTATGGTTTAGGGTTTATGGTTTAGGGTTTAGGGTTTAGGGTTTATGGTTTAGGATTTAGTATAGTAGATGTTATATTATATACTATAATATAATATAACATATGTTATATGTTATATTATAACATAACATATAGTAGATGTTATATTATATACTATATACTATTATATTATATAGTATAACATAGCATATAGTAATGTAATATAGTATAACATATAGTATATAATATATTGCAATTTATAATATATGTATATGTATATAATTTGCGCAAAAATAAACGCAAGGTGCCTGGCGGCACATTGGTACGAGGTGCACCAAGAGAAACCGGACTCACCCACAGACACGGGTTTGAGTCCCAATCTGGGATCCTCGTGCCTTTTTTTTTTTTATTTCGGAAACCGTATTCCTTGAATACGTTTTGCAATTAAATCATGCAGAAACCGTATTCAATGAATACGTTTTATATATTAAATATATAAAAAAAAAAATTTCTTTAAACCGTATTCCTTGAATACGTTCTGCAATTAAATCATGCAGAAACCGTATTCAAGAAATACGTTTTGTATATTAAATATATAAAAAAAACTTCTTCTTCTCTTCTTCTTACGCGAACAGAGAGCAAAAAAAAACAAACAGAGAGCGAGAGAAGAGAAGAGAAGAGAAGAGAAGAGAAGAGAAGAGAAGAGCTCGATTCTACTGCAATTCGGTCGAAAAAAAGGGCATCGTCATCTCACTACCACCGCACGGTATATTATCGCCGTCTCCTTAGATTTTGTTCAATTAGGACTTCAATTTTTACTAATTTTCAATCATTTTCGAATTAGGGTATTTTTTGAATATTGAATATTTTGTTTAATGGAAATGAGATATATTGATGTAATTGTTGAATATGTTTGTATGTTAAATTGATGTGTTATTTGAAATGTGATTAGGTTGTGTAGTTTGTTTGAGAATATATGATTTCAAGGTGTTCGATAAAATGCCTCAAAGGGGTTCTTTAGTTTGAGCTTCTTTGCTTGTGTTATTGGTTTTGTTGTTACATATTTGTGAATTTGGGATGATTATGATGAAGTGAAGAGGTGTTGAAGGTGGATATGTGAAATTGTTGTGTGAACTTTTA